TGTGGAGTTGGTTAGGGGGTGGGGCTGGTGACAAGTTAGAAACATTAAATACACAAAATCTCTGAGTGGTCAGATATCTATATATATTTTCCCCCAGGGGTACAGGAGCATTTGGCTGGGTTTGGGGGTGGGGGAAGGTGAGCAGAAAATAAAGAATATGCAAAGATGATGTTAGAATGATACTTGGTAAAGAACGTGTGGGGAGGAGGTGATTTATTCCAGTTTTTTTGTTTTCTCCCCCCTCCTCCCCCAAATAATCAGTATCCAGCCCTTTGCTTTGCAGGCTGGGCAGGGAAGTTCTGGTGCCAAATTCTCTCCAATGAGAGAACTTTCCCCATACATTTCAGCAAATCCCAGGGTGTTCTGCATCAAATGCACATTGGAACTCTCCATGGCAATGAACAGGAAAGTCTGTGCTTTCAGGAGCATTGATTGTGCATGGGGGGCACATATGGAATCTGGGCAAGGCCACCCAAGCTTGGAAAATCCCCCACCGGAATGATCAGCGAAACATGGAATGTGTCAATGCAGTTGGACTGGTTCTCAGGAGCAGCTTTGGGGAGAGCAATGAGGGGCAGAGGAAGTTCATCACTTCGCGTCCTCACTGCAGGGCTTCAAATATTTCCAGCTGTCAAGGATTTGCTTTGAAAGCTCTCCTGGCTGTCTGCCTCCTCCTCCTCCTTTGCCCTCACTGTCCTTTGCCCTCACTTGCCCACACTGATGCCCAACCTGGTTTGCTGTGGTCCACGGTGCAACCTCGCTTACAAACTCCTTTGCTTACAAACATCCGAGGCATGTCAACGTATTATATAACATGATCATCAACAACAAATCAACAGGGAGAAAGAGCACCGAAACTCACCGGTTTGCAGTTAAGTGTCAAAAAAAGTCACCAAAAGCAAAAGCTGTTTCCCTGATGTTTGTGAAATGGGATGCTTAATAGGAAAACTGGGTTTTGGTACAGTCCTTATGGGACAAAAATAACTGAATCAGGAGATGTCTGCATTTCAGATTTAAATCTCCATGGTAGTACACTAACTGCGCATGTTCCAGTTGGCCAATGCCATAGCCGGAATCCAAAGGGACTAGTTCTTCACATCGAAGGGCAGGAAGTTTGGGGCTTGTGTGTCCCAAAGAATGTTCCTCTTTCCGTGATGCACATCACTTAACATTCAAAAGCAAAGGGGTTACAAAATCTGTTTGCAGGATGGCTGGGGAGGAAGGTTGCTTAAAAGGTGGGGGAAGTAAAATAAAAATAATTGAGTGCAACTCAGCCCGTCAGTATAGTAAAAGCGACCATTTGGTTCCTCCCCTTCAGTTCACCTTGAATTTTTGTGTTTCTTTTTGGGTGTTGCCTTCCACCTGCCCTTCGCTGGCTTCCTATCCCCAGAATTTTTGCTGCTCATCTAATAAATCAATTAAAACCAACCCCCAATGTATTTTTTCTTCTTCCACAATGAATTTAAATTTCCTTTCACGAAAAAGAAGATAGAGGCAACTTTCCCTTTCCCCCCACCCCCTAAAGCAAAACTCACCCCAAACCCCAAAAGTTATTGGAATGTATTTTGAAAACATACAATACGCAAAAGGTCCTACACTGTTCTGCCTCCCAAGCCTTTATATATATATGTATATATATATATTTATTTATTTATATTTATATATGTGTATTTTTAAAAACTACCACAGCACTCACTGTGTGTTTAGTAATATAGAGAGAGAGAAGAAAGAGAAATGCCAACTTTCTATAAACAAACACCACGTGACCGAGTTTCCACTTAAGGTACGTAGGTACCACCTCCAAGAACTGAGGAGCTTCTCCTCTTCAACATACTCTTCTAAGCTCTATATTTACAGCAGCGGCTTAGATGGCTGTGCACTTTTGTGGCAAAGGGAAGTGGCAAATAACATTACTATTCACTAGCATCATTCCACAGCATCCAGCATCCCAGATGGACTCGGAGATCCAAGGATCTGCAGGAATAATGGCTGGGGATAAGTCACAGTCTGGTGTGTGTGTGCTGCTTTATTTTATATGTACAATTGCAAAAACCGATGCGGAAATTGGGAGTGAGTGGAAAACAGGAAGCAGGGTTTTCCAAGGGCGCTACTTCCTGTTTATGTGGCATTGGTGACTTTTGGTTGAAGTAGAGTTACTATGCATTTTGCATATGTATATGGAATTGGGAGAACTCAATGCTGCCCTTGAGCTACCCCTCCGCCCCCCCCCCCCATATATATATGCAAGAACAATCCGAGATCTAAACATGGTTTCTGTGCAGGGCCAGATTTAGGTTTGATGAGGCCCTAAGCTACTGAAGGTAATGGGGTCCTTTATATGTCCAGCTATCCTTTTGTTGCTCTTTTTTGTGTTGAATATATGCTATATTTATGGACCTGATAGGTATCTAAAGCCATTTGCACATAACAAAATATGTATTTCATCAAAGTAATTTTTTTCCTTTAAATTTTTTGGGGGCCTCCCAAGAGAGTGGGGCCCTAATCTATAGCTTTGTTTAGCTTATACGTAATTCTGGCACCGTTTCTGTGATATGAGCGAATTCGCCTTAGAGTTGTGAACTCTTGGGATGAGAAATTTTGGTAGATGGGCCGGGACTGTGGCTGGAGCTAGAGGTAAATTCCGTATCTTGGAAACTCTTAAAACCATCCAGAGTAGATGGTTTGTCAAGGTTAAAGCAGTAGAGAAGGAAACTGGTCACCCGTGGCTTTAAACGAGGCTGAAAGGAATTTGAGAGATGGAATGACTTTTCTGAACTTAAAACTACCAGCTCTTCCTAATTTCCCACCTTGTATTTTCATTATTCTTCCACTTCCTGGCTTGAAGGTTTGCCTGTCTGACATTGCACTCATGGTTCTCCTAATTTTGGAAAGCAATAATTTTTGAAACCGCTTAAAAACCCACCACATGCCCACTGGTGAATGCTGTTGGATTTAAGGGAGTTTTAGGGGAGTGGGGACTTCGTGGACACACACAATGAAGTGCGACAGACCTTGCAACACCCATGAGGTATTCTGAACATCAGGAGAGTCTAGCCTTGCTATCTGATATGCTTTGAACTCAAAATGCTACAGAGTGAACCAGTGACCTTGGGGTGCAAAGCAAGCTGCTCTGCAATTGAGCTGCAGACACTTCCTAAGAGGAAAGGCTAGCACCGATGCAATGGAATGCTCCCGATTTTGGTAGGCAAAATAGGAAGCTGCCTTAGACCATTGGTCCATCTAGCCCAGTATTGTTGACACTGACTGGCAGTGGCTCTCCAAGGTTTCATGTAGGGGGTTTCTTCCAACCCTATCTGGAGATGCAATTGGGTCTTGAATCTGCTCTACCACTGAAAACCATCCATCCTAATACGGATTGTTGGCTATCACTGCCAGCCAATTGTTTCGACTGTCCTTTTCTCCTGTCCTTGAACTTTCTCATCTCCTCTTTTTCTATCAAACGGAATATACAAGGTCACCGCTGGAATAAGTTCCTCCAGGGGTGTTGTTAGGAGATGACCCAGATGACCTGCTCCCTGCCCCCCCACTTTGTAACAAGGCAACTGGGGGCACTACAGAGTACACTGCCCGCGAAATTCTGCCATCTTCACATGCCCAGAGGCACTTCTTTTAGTTTCAATGTGCACATAGGCAGCAGACCTTGCCAACAGGTTGTGGGGGAGGTCAAAGGTCCCAATCCATTTGTGGGCCCAGAAAACCCTGCTGGTACCCCACAGCTCAGAGTGAGCCCTGGCAGACATTGATTCCTGCCTCCCACTCTGAAATCCAGCCCAAATTTGCATCTGCACTAGGGGTAAAGAATGTGGGTCCATAGAGACCTTGCTAGGCTTCTGAACCGCATCAGCAACAGTGGAAATGTGCATATGGAAACATTCTGCAAATTAGTGTCGTATGGGCCAGTTCCTGAATCTTTTAAATACCTAGTTTTAATAGAAGCACCTCCCACAGAAGACTTCCATTTGCAAGCTGGGTGCCGCTGACTCTATAGCAGTCAAAATCAACCAGAAGGGGGAAGAAAATGAAGAGTTTTCCCCTATCTTCCTTGTCACCATGTGGTGGACTTGTAGATTAATAGATTCATCCAACAGGACCCAATGCAACTTTGAAGCCAGTGTTCAGGGTGTGTGGGATTTTTGACAGCCTAGACAACAAGGGGTCCCTTGTCTTTGGCTCCCTAGATTGCTAGAACGTGGCAATTTTAAAACGCCATAGCGAACAAAGTTGTGTGGTATTCATCCTGCATCTAACCTCCAGCTTCCTCAGATTCTGTCTCAACTTCCTGCAGAATTAGTGGTCCCCAAACTGGAAAAAAAAAAGTTACAATATACATCAAATCTCCCTCTCCCCAACACATTGAATTGAGATGCACTGTAACCTCACCCCCTTTTGCTATACCTTCTCCATTTTTGGTCCAAATATTTTCCCATTTGGTCCCAAGATCAACACTTAACAATCTCCTTCACAGGCAATGCCGATCATGTACAATAACTAAATGGGGCTGGGGGGCAGACAGACGAAAAGAATCTACCTATCTATCTATATATTTACGAAGAAAACAGGTTCCACAGTGACTTAAGCCCAGAGGCCACATCAATGGAAGGTCCATAACTGTTGGTTGTTTACGGCGTTGGCTAGGAGGGCTTGAACATCAGGGGGGAAATAAACATCGGATCACACTCATAGTCTCTGGCCTTTGAAGGGGTCAAAGTCACCATAGGCGAGCGCTTTCTTAACAGGTCTGCACAGTAAGAATTTGGATTAGTGGAAGGTTCTCCCTTCCTTCCTCAGTTCTCTTTGTCCTTCAGGAGCAGGCAAGATTTGGAAGGTTCACTGCTTAAGGTCCCAGAAGTAGAAGGGCGTTGACAGAGCTGGGTCCTTGGAAGGCTGGTGGCAGAAGTGGGATTTTTTCCTTCCATTTTTCATTTGTGTCTCATTGGTGGTCGACTATCAATGTAGGCGATGTCGTGTGGCTGCATCCATCAGTAAGCTTGGCCTGTTTCAACTGGTAGGAGACCCAGCACAGCCGAATGTTCCCCAAGCTTCATTCTACGCTGTGTGGACAAGCTCACGTTCTTGGTCAGATAGTCAACTGCGGCTGGGGAAAGGAAGAGGAGGAGTAAACAACAGAGGAAGAGGTAAAGTGCGAATAATGCTATAGAAGAAGCGTTTACAGTTCTACAAAGACACACCCTAGATAAAGATGGGAGAGGCCAGTCAGCCCATGTTTGTCTCATCACCCACCATGGGGCTTGGCAGCTGCAGTTTTTAAAACATGGTATTCATCTGCCATGCCTCTCTCTGATGCATTTTGCATTACAGTGGTACCTCGGGTTACATACACTTCAGGTTACAGATGCTTCAGGTTACAGACTCCGCTAACCCAGAAATAGTACCTCGGGTTAAGAACTTTGTTTCAGGATGTGAACAGAAATCGTGCGGCAGCAGCAGGAGGCCCCATTAGCTAAAGTGGTGCTTCAGGTTAAGAACAGTTTCAGGTTAAGAACGGACCTCCGGAACAAATTAAGTACTTAACCCGAGGTACCACTGTATTTTATTATAATATTGTGTTCTTAGCTATTAGAAGCCACCCTGAGAAATGCCTATGTATTGGAAAAGTGGGATAGAAATTCTTGCCTCAACACCATACCCCACAACTTCTGAAATCCTATTATTACTATTATTACTATTATTATTATTATTATTATTATTTAAATTTGTACACTGCCCTTCATCCGGAGATCCGATGGTGGTTCATGACAGAAAAATACAAAATGAGAATACAAATACATAATGAAAAACAAACAAACTCAAACCAATAACCCCACCTCCCACGAACAAGTTTAAAAAGCCATGGCTTCTGATTTTTCACTTGGCATCCATCCACACACTTATAAGCCCCCCTTGGCTGCCCCAAAGTGTCGTTTTTTCCATTGTTAAGTCATCTTGCTTTCAAAAGTCAAAACACATGGACTCTATTAATATAGAGACCTAGAAACTTGGTTGAATTTTTTTTGAAAAAAAGAAAGAAAGCCAGAATCCGTCCAGCATGCGGAATCCTGTGCCCTCATCCTGCACTTGAAAATTTGGGTGCCACGGCATGAGCCCGTCCTGAGACCTCGACTTAGTTTGCGGGAGAAGGATAAAAATAAAAGCTCAATACATTTCTTGGCTGCAAACGGAATTGTGTGACGTGCTTTTGACTTGGCTGAAAGACCCAAAATCCACCATTCTCTGAAGACTGGCAAGTGAAAGTATATATATATATATATATATATATATATATATATATATATGTAAGTAACTGACACTCCTGATTAGCAGTGCTTCAGTCAAACTCTGTGCCCACCCCCCTCATTCTAATGTCACAAATTAGATTAATACAAGGCTGGCAAGGAAGGCACCATTGGTGCCAACGGGTAAACAAATTTCAGCCATCAGCATCCTGTCAGCATCTTGCCCCAAAGGGGGGTCCCTTCCAGGCGAAAATTCTTATTAGACTTGTCACATCCATTAGGAATCCTTTCACGCTTCTGCGTTCCATCAGCGGTTTCATTAGCGCAGCCTCGGCCTCTGGGAATGGCTGGGACTGCTCTGTTCTGGCTCTCCTCCATTCTCCTCCATTCACCTCTTTCTCCGCCCCCCCATCTCCCCCCACCCTGCCCCTCGCACACCTCCGCCGACACCATCCGGGATGGAGCAGGCGAGTTTCTCACTGCTTGTCTCCACAAGATCTCAGCTTGGCTTCCCCACGAGAGGCCTGGACGGATCCGTAACATTGGCGGCAGAGCTTCCCAGTACCAGTTGTTGGAAACTGCTGTGGGGGGAAAGACAGTGCTTCTGTGCTGGGGGGTCCTGCTTGCAGAATTCCCCTCGGGGCACCTGGTTGGCCACTGGGGAAACAGGATGTTGGGGGGTAGATGGAACTCCCTTTGGCCTGATCCATAGATGCTTCTGAATACCAGTTCTGCGGGAGCCACAGGATGGGAGAGTTCTCCTTGCGCCTGTGCCCTGCGTGTTGGATTCCTACAGGGATCAGGCTGGTCACTGTGAGGACAGGATAGCAGACTAGATTGGCATTGGCCTGAATCAGCGGTCTCTCCTTCAGGGATTCTTGAGCTGTGATTCCTGCATTGCAGCGGGTTGGGCTCCCTCCCAACTTTACAGTTCTGTGACTCTACTAATTTGTGAGGTTCTACACCTGGGACTACACAGGGACGCGGGTGGCACTGTGGGTTAAACCACAGAGCCTAGGACTTGCCGATCAGAAGGTCGGCGGTTTGAATCCCCGCGATGGGGTGAGCTCCCATTGCTCGGTCCCAGCTCCTGCCAACCTAGCAGTTCGAAAGCACATCAAAGTGCAAGTAGATAAATAGGAACTGCTCCGGCGGGAAGGTAAACGGCGTTTCCATGCACTGCTCTGGTTCACCAGAAGCGGCTTAGTCATTCTGGCCACATGACTCGGAAGCTGTATGCCGGCTCCCTCGGCCAATAAAACGAGATGAGCGCCACAACCCTAGAGTCAGCCACGACTGGACCTAATGGTCAGGGGTCCCTTTAACTTACACCTGGCAAAGAAAATTGGGTCCTGGGGCTCTGTTGGGCCTCTAAATTAAGCCCCAGTGAGCTGTGTGTGTTTGTGTGTATATATATATTTATATATAATGTGTGTATATATATATGTATAATATGTATATGTATATGTATATGTATGTATATATATATATGTGTGTGTGTGTGTGTGTGTGTGTGTACACACACACACACACACATATTCAACAGGTGGTTCTCCTTCTGTGGGGGTTTTTGGGGGGGAGGGGGAGGGGAAGCTTAGATTTGGGGACTCCAGTAGAAAACGGAGGCCAAACAGGATCGACTGGGGAAATTCATTCTCCGTGGGGATTAATGCATTCCAAAGCGTGGTCAGGCATTTGGTTAGCCTGATCTAGGCATCACTTAGCAATCAGAACAGCAGTGGTTTATTAAAGGGGAAAGGTGTTTGGGCTGCTGAGGGGAGGGGGAGGTAAGCATTTCCACACCCCTTGCCCTCTCCCTTCTGAGAATTCCCCCTCTCTTGAGGCTCCTGCCAAGGCAAGAGGTTGCAGAACAGCAAAAACTTAACAGTCAGTAGGGGAATACCTTTGCCTGTGTTGGTAACGTCCAAGCTATGCGCCAAGGCAAGGCAGCAGATGTCGTGAGATGTTTTTCCCCCCTGAGGGAGGGGGATCGCCATGCGAAATGTAGAAACTGGAAGCTCATGGGAGCCCAAAACAGCATACTGAGGAGGTGCCTGTTGCATCTCTGCATGAGTCTGGTCTCCCCACCTTCCTGCATCACTGACCTGCCTGTGAGTGGAGCCTTAGATTTCCCTTGCTGTATGAAGAATCCACTCTTAGAAGATGATACCCGCTATGTCTCTGGATGATACACAGATCTCTGCCTGCCTCCTTTCAACCAACCAACTTGTGACCCTCTAAGATGTCACTGGGCCAACTTCCACCAACAACCCTCAGTGTTGGTCATGCTGATGGTAGCTGGAGCCCAGCCTCACCCAGAAGTCCATAGCTTCCCCATCCCTGAACCAGACCATTATTTGCCATTACTAGCCCCAGCTACCTCCATCATAACTCTTGACTTTTAATGAAGGGATTGGGAACTTGTGGCCTCCCAAATGTTGTTCGACTGCAGCTCCCATAATCCCTGACCACTGGCAATGCTAGCTGGGACTGTTGGGAGTCAGAGTCTTAAAGCAACTAGAGGGTCGCAGTTTTCTCATCTCTGAACTAGGCCATTGCTTGCCGTCACTGCCCCTAGCTACCCGAATCACGACTCTTAATGCAGGGAACTTGTGCTTCTGCAGATGTTACTGGGTTCCAACTCACATCATCATTCCTGCTCAGGGGTCTTGATACCTGCCAGGGCTGGAGGCCATCACATCAGTGCCGTATTAAACCCTGTGAGGGCCCCATGGCTGTCAAAATCTTGGGGAGGGGCGCAGAATCTCATGCACACGCTATAGTGTGATAACATTGAACTATGAAAGCTTCACTGCAATTTTCTTACAAGATCAAATCAATATTATTTTGATCTGTTGTCGCAGGGTCCTACTCTGCCAATTTGGTAATTCAGAACTGCACCATACTGTCTACGCCCCTGTCCAATACACTCTAGAAAATCAGACCCTCCAAATGCCCCTGTTTGCCAGGGACAGTCCTGAATTTACAGAAGCCGTCCCGGTTCCTGATTTGATCCGAGAATGTCCCTCTTTTCCTTAGGACGTCCCTATTTTCATCAGAGAAATGTTGGAGGGTATGGAGTTATGCGACCGCCAAGCCAAGGAGATACTTAACTATACAACCTTTAGAAGACACCTGAAGGCAGTCCTGTACAGTGGTACCTCGGGTTACAGACGCTTCAGGTTACAGACTCTGCTAACCCAGAAATAGTACCTTGGGTTAAGAACTTTGCTTCAGGATGAGAACAGAAATTGCGCAGCGGCAGCACAGCAGCAGCGGAGGCCCCATTAGCTAAAGTGGTCCTTCAGGTAAAGAACAGTTTCAGGTTAAGAACGGACCTCCGGAACAAATTAAGTTCTTAACCCGAGGTACCACTGTATAGTGGTTTTTAAAAATGTTAATGTTTTATTATGTTTTTATATATGCTGGAAGCTGCCCAGACTGGCTGGGGCAACCCAGTCAGATGGGTGGGATATAAAGAGTATAATAATAATAATAATAATAATAATAATAATAATCCCTATTTTCATCAGAGAAATATTGGAGGGTATGGAAAATCAGCAATCTGCATCATAATTGCCCCTTAATTCTGGGAAAGACAAAAAGGATGCCTTGATCATTTATCAGTAAGGTTTTTTGGGGGTGGGGAAAAAAGGGGTATTAAGAGGAAATGCACTCCTCCCCCTTCTCCTTCACCCCCCTCCCACTGCACCCTCTCTGCCCTTGCATTTCCTTATTTTTCACATTGCTCCTGCTCCCCCCCTGCCCTCGCACACACATGGGGTGTGACTAACACCTGGCCCGGGGGCATCTTTATTGGAAATACATGGTATTGGAATTTGTTTAAGATTTTTATCAATAGCACGTGTGGCTGGCCTTTGCATCCAGAAGCGAGAGGAAGGTCACGGGGTCGCAGATCAAGCGCCGTCCCCCCCACCCCACCTTCCCGCAAGAGGGAAAGAGCAGGGAGCAAGGGGGGTGGGGAAGTCAACAGCCATTCATGCCCCTCTCTCTGCAGTTTACAGAAGGTTCTCATTTGGCCGTAGAAGTCGAAACACATTACACGGAGCAAGGGCAAAGGGGGGGGGGGGGCGGTTGTCACGGCCGCTTGGGGGAGGGAGGTCACTCTGCAATGAGCCCTGGGCGAAAAGGGGAGGAGAGGGAGGAGAGCCCCCCCCCCCACTTCAAGGGTTTCAATGGGTCACAAACTTATCCCTGGCTTCGAAGGGTAGCAGGTGAACTGTCTGGCTGAGAGCCTCTCGGGAGGGGGGGGGCATTGTGTGTGACCCCGGAAGACCAAGAGGTGAGCTGACCCTCCCACCTCCACGGAGATGACCAAAAGCCCTTGCCCCGGGGACCTTGCCACTTGCTCCCAGAGCTCCCAGACCCCCTTTTGGGAGTCCCAAAATGGCCCGGGCAACATCGAGAAAAGCTAAAGAGGTTTAACACACTGCAGACCCACTGAAATAAATGAACCAAAGTTAGACATTGCATTCAACTTAACGGGGTCTACACTGAGTAGGTCTAGCACTGGATGCAACCCATATATAACTGCCCTGAGACCTGCGGGTATAGGGCAGCACAGTGGTACCTCGGGTTACAGACGCTTCAGGTTACAGACTCCGCTAACTCAGAAATAGTACCTTGGGTTAAGAACTTTGCTTCAGGATGAGAACAGAAATCGTGCGGCAGCAGCGGGAGGCCCCATTAGCTAAAGTGGTACCTCAGGTTAAGAACAGTTTCAGGTTAAGAACGGACCTCCAGAACGAATTAAGTTCTTAACCCGAGGTACCACTGTATATCAATTGAAATAATAATAATAATAATAATAATAATAATAATAATAATAATGGTGTACTTATTTATGCATTGCATTTATGTTGGTCCATGGAGAGAAGAATGCCAACTTTGACTGGGATCCATTAATTTAGCAAATGTCTACACAGTTTTCTGTAAAATTTATCCTGATGTGGTTCTCTGTGTGGGTCCCTGCTTAGAATCATAGAATTGTAGAATTGGAAGGGACTCCATGGGTCATCTAGTCCAACCCTCTGCAACACAGGAACCACAACTTCCCACCCACCTCCAGAGATGCAGAGGAGGTTACCTGTTGCCCTCCTGCATGAGCTTCTGCAACAATCACACCTCACCCCACCAACAGGCAGGGTCTTAACCCTCCGGTAGCAGATACTTACTTTGTCCGTACTGTCCATACTGGTAGCTGGCCACCGGGTCCACACTATAGCCGGTGGTGGTGTAGGTTGGGGGGCAGTAGGACTGCGAGGTGGGGAGGCTGTCAACAGACTTGATGGAGTCACTCCTCTGACTGCAGCTGGCCGAGATGGAGTTGGCGGTGTCCAAACTGCCGTGGAGGGGCGAGATGGAGAAGTCAGCCTGGGGCTGCGGGGGGACCCCGCTGGGGTTGCTCAGGATGCTCATGACCTGTGGGGGGGGGTTGCAAGATGAGACCCAAGTCAATGGGGAACAATGGCACCAGGCATACGATGCATGGAGAGAGAAAGCAGCAGCGAGCCAGAGGTTTAAAGAGAACTGAGTGCTTGGGAGGAACAGAATGCAAGAATGCCAGAATTTGGATCAGGCCAGAGGTCCATCTGGTTCAGTGTCCTCTTCTGTACCAATGGCCAACCACATGCCTAGGGAAAGAAGGTAAGCAGGATTCGAGAACAACGGTACTCATCTCATTAGTTTTTAAACTCAAGTTTAAGAGTATCGCTGGATCAGGCCAACGAACCAAAAAGAAACCCCTGTGTTGCAATAAGAACCAATCGCAACAATACAAACACAACACGTAGGCTAAACGTTAGTAGAGACTATATAATATAACATAATAAGAATTTATTATTTGTACCCAGCCCATCTGGCTGGGTCTCCCCAGCCACTCTGGGCGGCTTCCAACAAAGATTAAAAATATATTAAAATGTCACACATTAAAAACTTCTATGATCACTGTTCTATTATACAGTATATTCTCTACTAACTATTAGCCTACGTGTTGTGTTTGTATTGTTGTGTTTGGATCAGGCCAACAGCCTGTCCAAACATAAAACACCAAACTTTAAAACTTCCCAGTACAGGGCTGCCTTCAGAAGTCTTCTAAAAGTTGGGTAGTTCTTTATTTCCTTGACATCTGATGGGAGGGTGTTCCACAGGGTGGGCGTCACTGTTGAGAAGTCCCTCTACCTAGTTCCCTGTTATCTTCACTTCTCACAGGTAGGGAATTGCCAGAAGGCCCTCGGAGCTGGACCTCAGCGTCCGGGCTGAACAATGGGGGTGGAGATGCTCCTTAGGTATACTGGGCAAAGCTGTTTAGGGCTTTAAAGGTCAGCACTGACACTTTGAATTGTGCTTGGAAACATACTGGGAGCCAGTATAGATACTTTAGGACTGGTGTTATATGGTTGCAGCGGCTCCCCGTCACCAGTCTAGGTGCTGCATTCTGGATTCCAGGTCACCTTCAAAGCTAGCCTCACATAGAACGCATTGCAGCAGTCCAAGAGGGAGATAACCAGAGCATGTACCTCTCTGGTGAGACAGTGCACAGGCAGGTAGGGTCTCAGCCTGAATACCAGATGGAGCTGGTAGTACAGTATCATCTTCCAATTTTAGTTATCGTTCGGCCTAATCTACTCTTAAGAATGGAAGACTTTAAGAATAGCCCTAGCTAGTCCAGCATCATGTTTACAGTACGTTTCCGAGCACAATTCAAAGCGTCAGTGCTGACCTTTAAAGCCCTAAATGGCCTCGGTCCAGTATATCTGAAGGAGCGTCTCCACCCCCATTGTTCTGCCCGGACACTGAGGTCCAGCTCCGAGGGCCTTCTGGCGGTTCCCTCATTTCGAGAAGCCAAGCAGAGGGCCTTTTTGGTAGTGGCACCCGCCCAGTGGAACGTCCTCCCACCAGATGTCAAAGAGAAAAACAACTACCAGACTTTTAGAAGACATCTGAAGGCAGCCCTGTTTAGGGAAGCTTTTAATGTTTAACAGACTACTGTATTTTAATACTTTGCTGGAAGCTGCCCAGAGTGGCTGGGGAAACCCAGCCAGATGGGCGGGGTATAAATGATGATGATGATGATGATGATGATGATGATGTTCTGACGGTGGCCAACCTGATACCACCAATCGGAAACCAACAGCACTCTCATAGGAACCTAAGAAGATCTTTTGGATCATGCCAGTGTCCCAACTAGTCCAGCTTCCTGTTCTCACAGATTCCCCAGTGGGAAACCAGCAAGCACAAGAGCAACACTCCTCTCGTGTGGTTTCCAGCAATTGGAATTTGGAGGCAGGCTGTTCCTGGAGGATCCATCTATTTCTTGTGACTAATTTCTACTACCAGTAGACTTAAGAGCATAACAGAAGCCTGGCTGCTGGATGAGCCCAAAGATTTAGCTCAGCATCCTGCTCTCTCACAGTGGCCACCCAGAGGCCCCAATGGGAAGCCGGCCACACTTGCGATTCCCAGCAAAGCCACTTCCTCCTCCTACTCTGACACAAACCTCTTTTCTGAATCTCGGACCAGTCCCTCTGCTTTCCTGGCAATGCTCTGACCACAGGAAGCATCAGCTGCTCCCATCCTTGCTTTTTGGCAAAGCGCCGAAGTGCCGGCAGTCCCCTCTGCGCCACTCCAAAGCTTTTTCCTTTTTTTTATAAAGAAAAAGTGAGGGCGGGAAGGGGGGGGGGAAGTCTGAAAATGTAGCATAATCTTATTGACCTCAATTAATGCACCAAATTGAAAATGTTTGGAGCCCGGCAAGAGGTGGAAGAAAGCTTTTTATCCCTCGCTAACCTCCTGTTGGGAGGACTTTATTCTTTCCGAATGACACGCTGCTGTTTCGGGAGAGGCGATTCCTCGCCCGGCAAACAGTCCGATGGCTCCCCTTGCCCCAACGTCTGCCAGATATAAGCTTGAGATGCTGGCGGCTGAGCCTGGGACCTTCTGCATTCAAAGCGGATGCTCTGCCATTGAGTTGGGGCCCTTCCCTTGCGATATAGGAAGCTGCCATCTAACTTGGTGTTTCTTCAGACAAGAGACACTCCAAACCCTTCACGGAAATGTTGGGGATTGAACCTGGGACCTCAGCACTCCAGCACCAAGCTATGGTTCGTTCCCCCCAAATTAAGTAGGATCCTAGTCCTCATGGTTCTGAAAGACTCATTTAAACAGGGAACTGCCTTACAGAGAGTCAGCTATCAGCCCAACTAGCTCACTAGAGTGTACGCCAGGGTTTCCCAAACTCATTTTGGGACTACAATTCCCATCATCCCTGACCACTGGTCCTGCTAGCAAGGGAGTTGTAGTCCAACAACAGCTGGAGACCCAAGTCTGGGAAACCCTGGACTACCCTGACTAGCTGTGGCTTTCTAGGGTGTCAGGCAGGTGGGGCTGGGAAAGGGTCCCTTTCTGAAACCCCAGTGACATCTTGCTGGTCAGTGTGGCCCAGAGATGGGGAAGCTGACTTCTGCCTTCAGATGTTGTTGGGCTACAGTTCTCATCAGCCCCGGACAAGCATGGTCAATGGTCAGAGATGATGAGACTTGACTGATCTAGATGGGCCAATGGCTTGATTCAGCGTATCTATTTGTTTTTATTTACCCTGCTTATCCCCTGCCCTTTCTCCTCCAAGGAGCTCAAAGTGGGGCACCTGGTTCTAATTCTGCCCTGGTTTATCCTCACAACAACCATGAAAAGTAGGTTAGAATTGTAGAGTCAGAAGGGGCCACAAGGGTCATTTGGTCCAATCCCCTGCAATGCAGGAAGCGTTTTTCCCAATGTGGGGCACAAGTCTCATGCTCTGTGGACTGAAAATGAGTGACTATGGCCTGGGGTTGCCCAGTGAGCTTTATGGCTTCATGTTTTTTTCATCGGTATTTGAATAGGTTTGTGTTTTCATCTTGTTTCAATTCTATTACGGTTCAATTGATTTTTAATGATTATACATATATATATATATTAGCTTTTTCGTATTTTATCTGTCTTGTTTTAACTTGTATAAGACGCCTCGAGTCCCAGTCCGGGGGAAAAGGCAGGATATAAATAAATATAAAGGATTTGTCCTTTTCGTGTTGTTGAACAATGAGCACCATAATGCTATTTTTATCTTCCTGGTGTATTTAAACTTTTGTATTACGTGGTTTTTTTTGTTTTTTTTAATAATTCCTTTGAAACATTTCCTGTAGTAAGCAATGGATAAATGCAAGAATCAACCAATAATCAATTCTTATTTCTGAGTCAGGATTTGAACTCAGGTCTCTCCCAGGTCTTAGTCCAATACTCTAACCACACTGGCATCTCCCTGAGTGTGGACACTCTGAGCTAGTGACCCTTTCACCACAGATATTCCAACTAGTGAAGCTCTTCCACGTCCGTCCCATTTTATTAAAAAAACAACAACCCCAAAACTTGCAGATCCAAACTCTAGAGGAAAGGATTATTATTACTATTTCCCTCTATCATGCTTTTCCTGCAATTGACCTTGCTTTCTCCTAATTTATTATGTCTTGGAGCGTTTACCACCACTAACAAGAAATCAATAGCCTCTCCGTATCTGAACGGGTTTTTTCTATATATATAAATAAAATATATTACTATCAGGAAGGAAATCTGTCATGTCAATCAGGGTGATTGGCATCCTTCCTGTCCCCGCCACCCAGCTCTCCTGCTTCTTATCAATTGCTCCCTTCAAAATCCCCTCTAGGCGTTCAATCAGACGCCGGCTCGAAGTGAAGTTTCCGATCAAAGAGGCTCTGGACGTGGCAGCAAACCGGATGGGGAGAACCACACAAATTCCTTTGGGAAGCTTAACTGCAGAGGGTGAAGGCAAGGCTCACCCCATTCCCCGATGCTCAGAGCACCCAGCATTCCAAGGTAGACTGCTTCTGAGCATGGAGGTACCACCTGCTACTCATGTATGGTAAGAACATAAAACATAAGCAAAACCTCTTGGATCAAGCTCCTCGCTCCCAGAGTAGCTGGCCAGATCCCCTAATGGAAACCCTGCAAGCAGGACCTGGGCAGTGTTAGAAACTGAGATATGAAAGCTAGGAGCTGAATGGCACCTTAAACCTAGGTTATGTTGTGAATAACAAGAACATAAAGCTGAAAATGAATGAACTGCAGCTAAAATATTACAGTGGTACCTCAGGTTACATACGCTTCAGGTTACATACGCTTCAGGTTACAGACTCCGCTAACCCAGAAATAGTGCTTCAGGTTAAGAACTTTGCTTCAGGATGAGAACAGAAATCGTGCTCCGGCGGCGCAGCGGTAGCAGGAGGCCCCATTAGCTAAAGTGGTGCTTCAGGTTAAGAACAGTTTCAGGTTAAGTACGGACCTCCGGAACGAATTAAGTACTTAACCTGAGGTACCACTGTATGTTCATTTTTCACATGGTCTAGTCCCTCCCCTCCCCAACTCCTTAATATTCTTAAGAGGGTCTGTCTGTCTGTCTATCTACTTTTATGTGTCCTGAATCTTCCAA